CCACAGGGTGTCCAATTAGGGTCTCTCCTGTTTGGCCCTATTGAGGACGTTCCCGACAGTATGTACTATGAGATCAATGGAGACATGGTCAGGGACAGACGTACTGCAGAAGACGCAGAGGGTAGTGCTCTCGGGCACGCTGAATATTGCCCGGACTTTCAAGGTGGCAGTTTGAGTTCCTGTTAGAAGGAGGACCGTAGACACAACGGAAAAGCTTTTTAGGATTAGTTAATGTACATCTATTTTTTACTCCATGGCTCACAGGTTACAGTTTTCGCCCTGTGCTGCTTGATTAGAATGTAGCATTCAGTTGATTTCTCTGCGATTATAATAATAATAATAATAATAATAATAATAATAATAATAACAATAATAACAATAATAATAATAATAGAAGTTAAGTAATAATTATCACACAGTCAAGCAACCATGCCATGTAAATATCATAAGTCAACCATCTAATGAGCCCTGAGAGGGTGAAGCCTAAAAAATACGTGTTTAATTACCGCTACCTTTCTGGCAGGTTCTTCATTACTGCCTGCTTAAGATGGGAAGTATCTGGTAATGCCATTATCTTTGCAATGCATGTTTTACCATAAGACTGTACACCAGAATAAAAAGTAAGAGCAAACATTCCTGTTAAAAAGGGAAAATTAGTCTTTCAGTCATTCATCATCAGATCATTTTCAAATACATTTACATAATACAAATTCAACAATCAAGTTGGAATTAAGCTTTATAGGAGGGAGCAAAAATACCTTTAAAAAAAATTCCTATCATTAATATTTTAGACATCTTTTACATCTCACCTGTGTACATCAAACCCTTGAAATTTTGCAGCTTGTTTATCCAACCTTTAAAAGTAACAGAAAGAGCAAAAAGCAAACAAACAAAAGAAAACATTAAAAAGTGACAATTAGAGACTGAAAAACTCAAACTAATCCCTTCTTTTTTAATTTTTTTATTTTTTTTTTCACTTCATTTATTTATTTCATCAAAAACCTTACAGATGTAAGGAGAAAAAGTAACTGGAAAGTATAAAATTCTCAAGGAAAAAAAACTCATAATACAAAATTACACCACTTAAATAAAGTCAAATTGTATATAGAAAGACCTAATCCCTTCTGTTAGAATGTTCCACAGACTTACACCTGTCAGAGCTAGCATTCAGTAATATAAAACACAGCCCCACATGATAACATTTGATTCCCAGAAGGGGGAGGCAAAGGGCAGGGGGAGTTGTACATGTTAAGCAGTGCTTGATGCAACCTCGATGTCCAGGAATTTCTATTCTTCTGCCTGTTGCTGAACTGTGCATTCAAAGCTTCAAATACAAGACTATTTTGACACATAAAAATGATATCTAGCCTAACTGAAGAAAAGGGAATGGGGGGGAGGTCTTAGTAAGAAAGGGGAGCTTCTTTGAAGACATAATGGGTGTAGGGGAGAAAAACTGAAATTCTGAGTGGAAAACAAGTTTTTGTCTCAGTAATTTTGCTCAATAAATCTATAGTTATATCATATTCTTTTTTGAACTCTTTTAGGCAATGAATTTAAGTATTTTTGGACTTTTTGCTTGGACTTGATAGTCAACTATGAGATATTTAAGAAAGTATGTGGTCTCTAATAATGGTTGATTGGTGTGTTTAGATGAGGGTATGCAGACAGTAGCTTGTGATGTCCCACTTGCATTGTTTCCCTTATTTTTGAGAAATATGTTATGAAACCATTAAAGACAATTTCCCCTGTTTACACACCCTCATTTGAACACTCAGGGGTTGGAAGAAGAGATTCGTGAAAGCTATGCAAACCTGGGTGAGAAAAAGGATTTCTTTGATAAAACAAAATGACATCTTCATTAACCTACCAGTTCTTATTAACAATTCCCTTAGAACAACTGTTGATGCAACACCAAGAGGAAGACCTTTCAATGAGAAAAATTAAACAAAACCTTTAAAAAATTTATCAAGACAAAATGATTTGATTGGTAATTTTATGGTGAGATTACTTTGTGACACTTCAAGTTTGCTTTTTTTTTTTTTTTTGTAGTTAGCAACAATGATCTTCCAAGGAAAACAACTAAACTTGCTGTCCTTTAATTTTGCATTTAAAAAATTATTACTAAGAGAAACAAAGAAAACTAGGATGACTATGGTCAATAATTATATGAGGATGAGTAGCAAGAACAGAACCATTTGAATGATTGTGAAGGATGGAGATTTCAGATTTGGTTTTACATGTAAAATTTGGCACAAAAATACTGATAAATCGCTTGATCCATACTGCATTGCTTGCACTTTCAAATTTTCCTACAGTACATACATAGGAACGATATCATTTTATCCCTCTACACCCTAATATTAGTATGCAGATTCTCCATACTGTATTTTATACATTTCCTAAGGTGCTGACAAGGAGAATTTGTTTAACAATCAAGAGCTTCTCCAGCAGGTGATCATTTCCTCAACTCTCATGACCTTAATGTGTGACTCAGGGATGATATTGTAGGGAGAAATTAGATGCTAGTCACTCTGAGAGATAAAACGGTTAACCACATGCTATTCCAAAACAACGCCGTAGTCCCAGATATTAGGATGTTCTTTTAAGCCACAAGCTATTGTTTGTTTCTTTGTTTTGTTTCGTTCGTTTATCCCATCAAAGAGTTGTGTGCATAATGAATGGGAAATGTAGCCGACCCATTTTCCTCTTTACGACGTCCTTTACGACCTATTTACCAAGGTAGGGGAAAGGTAGGGGGAGGGTTGGTGTCAGCGGTTAGCAGTAGGTCTTGAATGTTATGTTGTGAACAGAAATCATGAAGGAGGAGCACAGCGAGTATCATGTAAACTTCAACTCGCAATATTATCTAAAAAAAATAAGGAACAAAGGGGAACCTTAGAATTACAGTACACCACGATTTCGTGATGAAAATCGATGACCCAACTTAAATTTATTTCGAAATTGCTACCTCTGTAGAGAATACTGTTCCTTGAACAATCCTTGAGAACTTCTCTTTCTTCATCCGTAATCTCTGTTTCCTGGTGAAACCAACTGTAAGTTCGCAACATACAAATACAGTAAAAGAAAACAATACACTCCACTTCCAGTTTACCTCAATCGGTACGTGTTTATGTTGTCGCGATCGTACTTCTCTGTCTGAACTACCAGCCATTTTGTGCCAGTCTTACAAACTATGTTAAATAAAAGGAATTTCGCTCCTATGGTAAACCGCTGAACAAGGAATTCTGACACGCACTTCACAAACAATAAAAGTGAACAGAAGGCAATACACGGAGGGTGGCTGGCGCGACGAAACCAGAGCATAAGTAGACCGCTTTCTTCTCTTAAACCCGCTTTTTCTCGCAATATGAGGATGAGTAGCGAGAAGAAAACCATTTGGATGATTGTGAAAGATGGAGAAGGTATATATTGGGTTTTACACTTAAAATTTGACTACACGATGCCGATAAATCGCTTCTATACCTCATGGCTTGCATGTGATTTCTTACCCTGCGAGCAGAGGTCCCTTCGATGTTCCCAGAAATGTCGAAGGGACCTCTGCTCGCAGAGTAGTAATTTCTCAGTTATATGTACAAGTTATCATACATGATATAAATGATTCGATTGCTGCTCAGGGCTTAAATGGTGTAGTTTGAAGCTTTAAAAGGTAATCGAATGCTGTTGTGTTTTGTCTGCCGTTCTCTCAACAGTCATGTCTGACGTCAAGCGATTTCAGTTTAACTGTGTCGATGGAGTAGAAGAAGAAGATAAGGTCTATGAAAAAGCCAAGTTCTTAGAGGTGAATGGTTCAGGCTTACATCGGGTTCTGTCCTGCTGTGCTATTTGTTAGATGGAAATAAACAAAAGTTACGTTTATCACACACTGCAGTTATTTAGTGTATGTTGTGAGTCACTTCTATCCATGGTTAAATC